GATCGTTCTGAAGGGATGTGGCAAATAAAAAAAAAATAAAGAATCTAGCATTTTGTTCCTCGGATTCAAATCCCCATTCGCCTTCTTGCAAGTATCTTAAAGATTATTCCAAGAGCTCAAAGAAAATACAGATACGTTACGCAAAGGTCGGAAACGGCGAGTTTTTAGAGAAAATGGAAACAGAAAGGAAAGCTATATTTAGCATCAGGTAGAGAAAGTTGAGTTTTTAGGGTACATAATGAATTATAAAGGAAGGTTAGGAAAATTTTTTATAATTGGACAGATTGATGGTAAGAGGACAACAAGGCATAACATGGATGGCATAAATGGATGGCGAAAAAAAGATTTAGAAGAAATAATGAAAAGACGAAATTTATTTTTCTATATTCATGAGATGAGGTATTATGTACACTATTTACATTATTCGGACTATTGTCCTCATCTTTGTTGCCATATTTATCACAACGTTTTGGCCTTTCAGTATCTGTCTATATTTCTGAGATGAGGTATTATGTACACTATTTACATTATTCGGACTATTGTCCTCATCTTTGTTGCCATATTTATCACAACGTTTCAAAATCTTTCAGTATCTGTCTATATTTCTGAGATGAGGGATTATGTACATGATTTTACATTATTCGGACTATTGTCCTCATCTTTGTTGCCATATTTATTATAACGTTTCGGCCTTTATTTTTGTATCTTTTTCGTCTATATTTCTGAGATGAGGATTATGTACATTATTTACATTATTCGGACTATTGTCCTCATCTTTGTCGCCATATTTATCACAACGTTTCGGCCGTTGTACGCTCCTGCCTTCTTCAGGTGGTTGGAATGTCGAAGTGAACCCTTTATTTCGCTCTCTGGGGTAGACTGTTCTAGTTCCACGTGCCATGTCTAATGGATGTCAGTTATCAGTTATCTCCTGTTAATTCACCTCTCCAAGTTCTGCACTGCATTAACCAGGTATTGAACTCACAACTCTTTAGGTCCTGTCAATGGATCTAACCAACACCTTTATCTTAAGAACACTGGCACAAGGTTAACATTACATTTAAGTAAGAACACGAGACTTGGATTTTCAATTGATCCAACCCAATATTTCGTCAGTTACTCCGGGCTAGCCTGTTGTGCGAATCCAGCGTCCTCATCTGATATGTGAACCTACATTGGCCCTTCAGTCACTTTCCCATTGCCGAAAAGTTGCCTCTCCGTGCCTTTTCTATGTATATTTTCATAGCAAGTGTTCAAAACTTCGCTGGGATACCTCATTCTTTCTGAAATTAAGCGCAGTACTAGATAAATAAATCAAGATCTCATCAATTTAGTCTTGAGTTGGCTTGATATAGCCGTAAGTTCTTAGGGCCAGGGTTAGGTTATGGTCTGATGACCCTGCTATTTACCTTGAGCTCCTTGATGAAATCTAAAGAAGAATCAGCAATCTTATTGGTCCTGATCTGGCATATCGGCTTCAGTCACTTTGGGTCCTGTCAATGGATCTAACCAACGCCTTTATCTTAAGTACACTGGCACAAGGTTAACATTACATTTAAGTAAGAACACGAGACTTAAAATTTCCTTTGATCCACCGTCGTAAAATTGCTTCCCAGTGCCTTTTCTATAAATATAGGCTGACCCCAAAAAACGGGAACTTTTTAACAATCCAATAAAACCAAGAGTGATAGAAGAAAAATATTTTATTCATAGTAATTGAAACCTTAAAACATGCCATTTAAGAAACAATGATGGAATTTTCATTTTTTAAAAATTACGTCCTGTAGATTGCCTCCTCCTGTACGAATGCATTCTTGAAATCTGCTGTTGAGATTCCTCTATTGACTGCTGCAACATCTCAGCTGGGATACTGTGAATTTCATCTTGAATTCTAAATGGCGAAATGTTTACTTGCTCAAGGTCACTGTCTCGCAGTGTTGCCACTTGCTCATGTCTGGCAATACGCAATTTTGTTTTTTTTTTGGTCACCCTGTAGTTTCATCGTAATTGATATAAGCTATTCGCTATAGTACATAGCCGTTTTTTTTTAATTTGAACCTAGTCCTAAACTCGCGTTAAGATCTCATCAATTTACACTTGAGCCGTAAGTTCTATGCTAACAGTTTCTTTTCTCGCACTTCTCGTTTGTGGACCTCTTTTTTGGTTCCATGATTTCCAGTCAACTTTAATCTTCAAAAAATTAAATGTAATGTCAATCGCTATCTACTGTCCTCCTCATTGCTCTTCTTTCTCGCTCCTTAGTAATGTTTCTGTTTTCTAATTCTTCCACACCCAGTAACCCTTTGTGTCTTAGTGGCTTTACAGCCTTGCTTGGGGTGAACTCGATTAAGAAAAAATGAATTGCCGTGACTCCTTGGGAGACATAATTGGTAGTTTTCCTGTCACCTTCTTCACAATTTTCAATTCGGGGTTTTCTTTCTCCAATACTGCTATTCATGGCGAGAGGAAGAACTCAGTCTACCCTACTTTTTAACCCATATGTTATTACGTTATCCGCACACGCAGACGTAAAAACTCAATTCGTTTAAATAATACAGAAGATTAACAAATATGGATTATACTTGCTGTCACTTGATCTACAGTGAATGCTATCCGATAAGTATTTATCGGATTATCGTGTTTTCTGGTGTACAGAACGAGAAATTTAGAATGAAAGTTAAAGACAATAGGTACTGCGTATTATACACAAATAGACGGTTTTAGAAAATGTTTACCCGGTTTAAAAGAAATTCTCTTATTTGAAACAGCAAATTGGAAATACACATGATAGATAATAAATCAAAAAAGTAAGCAGGTGGTCATAACAATTGTCTAAAAAGGATATTCGATTTTTTTAATCATTTCACCCCAAGCAAGGCAAGAGTGCCACTTTGCTGCAAGGGGTTACAGAGAGTGAGAACAAGAGGGGTGTCTGAGGAAAAGATAAAGAGAAGGACGGGAAAAAAGATCAAGGCATCAGAAGATGTCGATTGACATTATATTTGAATATTTGAAGATTAAAGCTATCAGGGAAGCAAGTAAGAGGAATGGAGTTACACTGTCGAGAAGTGCGAGATAAGAAACTGCTGGAGTAGAAGAGGTGGTTACCTTTAACCATTTCGACAGTGAAAGGGTGGGACCGAGATGCCAACCTAGTAGCATGCTTAATTTAAAAAATTTGGGCCCAAGTGAAAATATCTTGTCAGAGCAGTTGCCATGAAAATACATGTAGAAAAGATAGAGGGAGGCCACAGCACGTCTGTGAGAAAGTGACTGTAGCCGAGATGCCAGATCAGGACCTATCCCATTGCATATCCGTTTCTGCATTTTTCGAGGACCTCGAGATGAATAGCGGGGGCACCAGACCATATATGGCAAAAATATTCAATGCAAGGACGAATGGTTGATTTGCAGATTTGAAGGATGTTTTCAGGCGAGAAAAACCTTCTGGCACGGCTCAGAGAACCAACTTCCCTTGCGGTAGATGAAGCTATTGATTCAATGTAGTTGTTCCACCTCAGGTCAGTGGACAGCGTGGGACCAAGCAGGCGCAGGGAGCCGCTCTCGTGGAGTTGGGCATCGACCATTCTGATAGGAGGCAGGATGGGTTCTCTATGGTGAGTAAATCAGAGTAGTTTCGTTTTGGAGGCATTAAAGTTTACAAGCCGTTTCTCGCCCCAGTCAACCACAGATTGGATGTCCTTTTCGAGCCCAACGGCCAGTTTAGTATTGCCAGTAATACCGGATTTACTACTGAGGCAGAAGTAAATAGTAGTGTCGTCCGCGTAGATTCCTAGTTGGTAACTGATGTATGTCAGCCATAAGAAGTTCATATTCGCCGGACTTCATTGTCTTTTTGTAAAGGCAGGAAATTCACCGAAATTGATTAAAAAACATTAATAATGGGAATATTTAAGATCTGCCATGTTTTGATAATATTGGATGCAGCAATTCAACTTTCCGCAAGAAAAATTGTCTATGACTGGTTTAAGAGTTTGTTCTTGAATTGCCTTCTTAGATCACAAATTTTCATACGGATATTTTTTTTTTTTATCAGGCACATTCAGAAATATGGAAAATCTCAGCTGTTTTCTAAAGATCAACGATCGTTTGAAATTTATCCGTTGTAGCCATGGAATTTTTTTTCTTTTTTTTCTTTTTTTTAATTTTTTTTTAAAAAAAACAAGCGTCCTAACATAAGGGAGCTAACCAGAAACTGGTAGAATATAAAATGGCATCAAATGTTTGTTAAATGCATTTTCAAAATCATTGCTTGTACAAATTAAATATATATCTCCGCCAACAGAACACAAATTTTATAATCAAAAGAGCTTAGAGGCTGCAGAGAAATAAAGAAAGTCCTGTAAAATGAAAAATGATCAAAAAGGTAGCCAGGAGAGCTTCTAATTCTAAGAATATGCAATGATTTAGGGACTCTGAACAAGCCGAAGTCTTAATCAGGTGCTAGCTTAAATGCTGATAGTTTTGTTCGAAAATACAAAAAGTGTCTGGTTTTCCTACCTCGAATTTTCGTTGAGTCCTAAGAGATAAATGTTATTATTACGGCCTGAAAAAGAAAAACAAGCCGAAATTTTCGTTGACGCACGTGTTGACGACCTGTCCGTGTTGACTGCTTGCCTGATATTAAGAATGAAACGTGTTTGTGTGTGTAGAGGGGAAAAGTGCGATCAATTCTCATTGGTTTAGATAGAGTGAATTAATGATTATTATAGCTGTTTTAATTATTTTATTATAATTATTTGTACACTATAATTATTTTTTTATTTTTTATGGACACGACGCCGCTAAACAAAAAAAAAAGCAACAACATGGCAGATAAAACCATATATATTCTATTTAACGGTTGAGTTGGTTAGGGAATTCATTGGCAAGTATGCCGCTATTGTTTTGTTAGGTCAACGAACACTCGTTGCTACTTCTGTGATGCCAACGAATACTCGTTGTCACTTTCGTAATACTCGTTGTAGTAGAGACTTTGTAATCGCAGATACAACTATAGTAACGCCGTTGAACAATACTGGCGTCAGACGCCTTCGAATAACATTCACACTAATAGTACTTGCTCGATAATACACGCTCGGAAAGTAATCTGTATAGTGATCCAAAAGAAAATTTATATAGAATAGAGCAGAGGATAAAAAGTCCGTAATTTTATATAAGATAGACTAGAAATAGCGTGAATAGTATAGTGTTGTGGACAAATTTCTTGCAGTGGAGGCTTGTTTTTGTAAAAAGTCGGTCCTAAAATAGGTTCGACATACAAAACGTTAGAACTTGATATGATAAGTACTAAATTAAAATTTATCTGTAATCTAAATTCGTCGTTGATACTTTAATATTCGACAAATAAAGGATATTTAAAATAGAGATCGTTAGTCGTCAGCTTTTTTCCTACATATATATGTGTTTCCTCTATGGTCAAATGGTCTATTTAATTCAATAATGAGATCGCCTGTGTTTGCTCCCTGGCGACCCGTGTTCAAACTCAAGTGTCGGCAGCGACACTTTATTCCTATATAACATTTAGATTAAGTGTGAAAGAGTGACAGAGGCGGTAGTAAAAAATGAAACAAGATATTAAAGGATTTCTCAATCCAGACATGAAGACCCGACCTTATTGTTATAGTGATTTTCTAAGCCCAGCTTAGATGTGGCACAAGCCGAAAGTATGGTGCACCCAACGAGGATCGAATTCACTAGTCGTAAGTGATCTAGTAAGACAAGCTTTCTAACCATTACACAACGTCGAGGTGACCCTGATTGTTATAGACAAAGAAACAAGTTTCAAATAAGATTTTTATTCTTTCCTGTACATAGAGCGAAGAATCAGGATTTGGCAGAAGCGCTGAAGATTCTATGCCACATAAATGTCGAACTAATTCCTGTAGTAATGGGTGTTTTTTCTGATTGACTGATACATTTTTTATGGGTTATTTGCAGGTTATTTAAAGCAAGGAAATATTTTTAGATTTCAAGAAGTTTTTGCAGATAATAATGATTTCTACTGATGCAAATTTGACTAATTAACCCCATGGATTAAAGATGAGAAGATGAGGCGAATTCTTTGCTTTCTCAAGGGTATTTACGCATAACTGAATATAAAGAAACAGGTAAACTTACAACATCTTATAACCCCGAACGGTTACCAGTACTAACCAGGCTCAAATTTGATTACCTTTGGTTATCTGAACCGGTGTTTCAATATGATGCGGCCTTAGTCGGGTTTCGATCCTAGCTAGAGGCAACCGGACGTCTAGCCACACTGATGAGCTGTAATACAACGAAACAGTCTGTCTGTGGATGACAATATATATGCACCTGAAAAATTTATTTCAGTTGAGCTCTCAATGGGGAGGAAGAAATGGGTTTTAAACAAGTGATTATTATCATTATAATGATGAAGACTTTCGGTAAATCGAATCAAAGTGGTCTAAGTCAGTGTGTGTGTTTATCTAACAATAAATGCGACTAAATTCAATTCATCGCGGCCGTGAAACCAACGGCTTATTTCATTTTGAAATCTCCGACTAACGCCAATTCAGTCAGGTTTCGATTTTAGCTAGAGGCAAAAACGTCTAATCACGGTGATGAGCTGTAATACATTTTTTAAAGTATGTCTGTGGATGACAATATATATATATATATATAATATATATATACAAACAATTTATCTATTTGACTGAAGACAACAGAAAAAAAATGTTTAGAAAATGGCTTTTATTGTAGTTTTTTTTAAAAATTTTTATTATAATTTTCGAATAAATATATATATATATATATATATATAGATAGAGAGAGAGATAGATAGATAAATAGATAATTAGATAGAGAGTTAAACAATTGATAGATATAAACAGAATGAATTAAAATATAGCTAGCTAGCTAGATATGAATAAATTGAGATAGATATGAACAAACTTATATGTGTAAAATGAGGTTGGAAGAATAAATAGATAGATAGATAATAGATATTTAGATAGATAGATATAAAAATCAAACGCGAGATTGAGACATTGAGAATTATCGATGAAAATGGGATAATATAAATAATAAATGAACAAACTTACATGTAAAAAATGGTTGGAAGAATAGATAGATAGATAGATATAAGAAACTGAGATATGAACACAATTGAGATATTAGATAGATAGATAATAGATCGATCTGATCGTGAATAAGTCCGTTTTTAAGTATCAAAAGATAAAATTTTTAACGCCTCGAAAACTAAACATCTTTTTACTTAATCATTTGAGAGATCCTCCCTACCTTGCATCATTCATGGCTGATTCTAACCTCCACTAAAGTGACTTGTTGCACCCTCTCGGGATCACACGTTCTCAGCTGATATGAAGCAGAAAGACTAATATTGAATCCATTGCTCAGGTTCACTGTGTGGCGCGAGATAATACCCACAACCCCGAAATCTATCTTACACACCTCTAAGTCTACCATTTTTCACCATACTTTTGAATATTGCACAGTCACATTAAATATTTGTCACCCTGCTATATTTACCTGGATTTGGCTTGATAAAATCCTTCAGAGAATCAGTCCTAAATGGCATCACGGCTTTAGAACTTTCTCATTGCCGTAAGGTTTCCTTGTCATTTTCTTTTTTTCTATAAATACTTTCATCGTAATTGTTCGCATCAATTCTTCGCTACTGGTGACTTATTAGTTGCAAATTGAGCTGGTATAAAAGATATAAAAGTAATTCCTATGCTAACAATTTCTTTTCTCACACTTCTTGCTCGTAGAACTCCCTTTCGTATCTATGCCTTCCAGCCAAATTTAATCTGCAAAAATTGAAATGCAATCGCCATCTACTGTCCTTTTGATTAATCTTTCCTCTTACAAATCATTATAAATTTTCTTTTTACTAATTATTTCACATCATAAACCTTTTTGAGATTAGTGGCTTTATTTATTGCTTTTTAAGTTGATTCCGATTTTCTGAATATGAACAAACACAGATAGATAGATAGATAAATAGATAGATATGAAGAAATTTACATGTAAAATCTGAGGTTGGAATTTTCAATTTTAGATAGATAAAGAGAGAGATAACCGAGTGTTTTTGTCTGAGATAGTTTCTTAAAAGAAAAACAATTCCAAGTGAGGTTGGGATAGATAGATAGATAGATAGATAGATAGATAGATAGATATGAACAAAGTTACATGTAAAGTGAGGTTGGAAGAACAGATAGCTAGCTAGATAGATAGATAGATAGTGAGAGAGAGGGAGAGTGAGGATGCAATAGATAGAGAATGATATGAAAGGGATAGATAGATAGATTGATGTGAACAAACTTACATGTAAAGTGAGGTTTGAAGAACAGATAGATAGAGAGAGAGAAATGAATGAGTAGGTTGAATAAAGACATTTTAGTCTATTTGGGAGTTGATAGTTGGGATTAATAGAAGAAGAGAGAGAGAAAATGAAAAAGTGATTATTTTACTACTCAGATAAATAGAGACAGATAAAATTAAGAGAATGAGAGTTTCTTATGGGATAGATAGATAGATAAAAATAGATAATAAACAGATTGAGATAGATAGATAGATAGATAGATAGATAGATAGATAGATAGATAGATAGATAGATAGATGTGACTAATTGAAGACACAAGATAAAGACTATTAAATGCGATTCCTGCCTGAAAGAAAATTATTCGGTCCTTGGAACAGTTCTTTTTTTCTGATTCTGTAGCGCCAGGAGAACGACAGAGAAGTGGGAATGCCAGCTTAAATCGGTCAGCCAGGGGGGAAAGACACATGGGCCTGGAAAACCCTATATGTATCTTCATTTCTCATCTGCGATGTCTCAGAGACTGCCCAGTTAATCTATGGAGCGTTTTTTTTTTGTTTTTTTTTTTATAACTTACGCTTGTCGCTTCCATGCGAGGAGGCGTGCTTCTGTATCCGGCGGACAATGTTATTTGTCTTTACTCTGGTGTATTCATTTAGTAATACTACAGATACTTCGCCACATCCCATTTATATATAATTTATTCCGTCGCGTGTAATAACTTGTTGAGCTGAGTTAAAAAAAGAAAAAAAGAAATAACTGAGACATCTAGAAGAGGCATGACAGCTGGAACTAGAACAATCTACCCCGGTTGACGAAATAAAGGGTTTGGATCGAGATTCTAATCACCGGAAGAAGGCCAGAGCGTACAACGACCGAAACGTTGGGAATATGGCAACGAAGATGACGATAACAATCCGAATAATGTAAATGATGTAAGTAATCATAATACCTCAAATCAGAGACAGAGACAGATAATACATTTTATTCGTCACGTTCATCCAATAATTTATTTTTCTTTTATATGTCTTTCCTTTTATTCATTATTTTTCTTTCATTATGTTTTACTTTATATTCCTTTTGTTTCATTTCTAATTTTTCATTCACAAATTTATTTTTCTTTCCTATTTCTTTGTTTTATTCAGAATTTTTCGTTCATTTTTTCTTTCCTATTTCTTTGTTTTATTCAAAATTTTTATATCATTTTTTTCTTTCCTATTTTTTTTTTTTTTTAGAATTTTTCGTTCATTTTTTTTTCCTATTTCTTTGTTTTATTCAAATTTTCATTCATTTTTTTTTCCTATTTCTTTGTTTTATTCAAATTTTTTTTTTCATTTTTTCTTTCATATTTCTTTGTTTTTTTTCAGAATTTTTTCGTTCATTTTTTCTTTCCTATTTCTTTGTTTTATTCAGAATTTTTCGTTCATTTTTTCTTTCCTATTTCTTTGTTTTATTCAGAATTTTTCGTTCATTTTTTCTTTCCTATTTCTTTGTTTTATTCAGAATTTTTCGTTCATTTTTTCTTTCCTATTTCTTTGTTTTATTCAGAATTTTTCGTTCATTTTTTCTTTCATATTTCTTTCGTATTACTCGTTCTGTTTCATTCAATAAGTTCTCTCTTTTATTTTTCTTTGTTGGTCCCTAATTTTCCATTGTTTTATTCATTCTCTTTCATTCTTTTACAACACCTTTTTTTTTATTCTTGCATTTTCTTTCTTTTAACAAAAGGAGTCACAAATAAAATAATTTTTACAAAAAAAATAAATAAATAAAACAAAATTCTAAATCACATCAATAGAAATGAGTTTAACTGTCAAAAAATAAATTAAAAAAAACTTTGTCGTTAATAACGGCAGAGAGATAGGGGAAAAGAGAGAGAGAGGGGGAGGAGAGGGGGAGAAAGAGAACAAAGAAAGAGAGTGGGAGAGGGAGGGAGGAAAAGAAAGAAAGATATAAAGAGAGGAGAGAGAGAGAGAGAGAGAGAGAGAAGTATTTTTTGATCCGCTTACCCTACTCATGTACCTCCATTTTGAATGGCATTTCGCTACTGGCTCATGTCCGGTAGAAGAAGTATGTTTCGCTTTTGTGTAACACAATCCGCCTTTTTTGACAAGGCCATAAATCCATGCTTTTGATTGGGCCAAACAATGGAAAAAGAAAAAACTGACACCTAAGATGGATTGTTTCCACTTCCCGATTTTCGCACCAAAGATCGATTTTGATTTCTTTTTATGAAGAGTTCTACATTTGAATTTCATTTGTAAAAAATCTCTTTATTTTCCTTTATTGTTGACCCGTTTTTGTTGTTCCTATTCTTTGTTTGTTTGTTGCTTTCTATTTTTCGTTCTTTCTTTAATTTTGTTTTTCATTCTCTTTTTTTTTTCTTGCTTTCTTTTATTCTCTTCTTCTCTTTTCATTTTTCTTTCTTCGTTTCTTCTTTTTTGTTCTTTTTCTTCATTCTTTTTTTCTTTTTTTTCTTTTAACTTTTTTTTTTTTTCAGTTATTTATTTTTATTTTTCTCTTCTTTCTTTACCTTTCGTTTTTCTTTCTTCTTTTTGTTTTTCTTTCTTTCTTTCTTTCTTTTTTGGTTCTTTTTGTCTTCCTTTTCTTACGTTCTTTCTTTCTTTACATATTGTTTGTCTTCTTTTTCTCGCGTTCATTCTTTCTTTCTTTCTTCCTTCCTTTCTTTTTTTCTATCTTTCTATCTTTTTATTTTTTTACATATTCTTTCTTTCTTTTCTATCTTTCTTTCTTTCTTTCTTTTTCTTTTCTTTCTTTCTTTTTTTTTTCTTTTTCTATCTTTTCTTTCTTTCTTATTTCTTTCTATCTTTCTTTCTTTCTTTTTTTCTTTCTTTCTTTCTTTCTTTCTTTCTTTCTTTCTTTCTTTCTTTCTTTTATTCTTTCTTTTTTTCTTTTTTTTTTTTTCATCTTTTTTCTTTCTTTCTTTCTTCTTTCTTTCTTTCTTTTTTTTTCTTTTATTTTTCTTTTTTTCTTTCTTTCATTCTTTCTTTCTTTCTTTCTTTCTTTCTTTTTTTCTTTCCTTTTCTTTTTTTTCTATTTTCTTTCTTTTTTTTCTTCTTTTTCTTTTTTGTCTTTCTTTTTTTCTTTTATTCTATTTTTTTCTTTTTTTTCTTCTTTTCTTTCTTTCTTTTTTTTTTTTCTTTTCTTTTTTTTTCTTATTTTTTTTCTTTTTTTTTATTCTTTCTTTCTTTTTCTTTTCTTTTCTTTCTTTGATTTTTTTTTTCTTTCGTTATTTTTTCTTTCGTTATTTTTTCGTTTTCTCTTTCTTCTTCGTTTGTATTTCATTATTTATTTGATTCATCCTTTTTCTTCTTTCTTTTTTATTCTTTGTTTTTTCTTATAATTTATTTTCTTTTCATTTTTTTTATTTACTTTCTTTTTTTTTTTTTTTCTTTTTTTCTTTCATTTTCCTTCCTTTTTTTAATTTTTATTTATTACCTTTTTTTTTATTTTCTTTTAAATATATTTTGTGCATTTCTCTCTTTTTATTTTATTTTTTTGCAAAATATCATCTCATATATTACAACTCTTTTATCCCACAATAAATTTTTTTTTATTTTAAAACATATAATATCTATTTAATCAATCAGTCAATGCTAAAAATCTTTTTCTTCTATAAAATTTTCTTAAAAAAATTCTATCTAATGCCAATTAAATTTTTTTCTATACGGAAAATATTTAAAATCCTGTTTTCAGTATTTGAAAATTTCTTTTATTTAACTTCAAAAAGAATTTTTTTGGGGTTTGGGAAAAATTGCTTTTTAAACTATCAAAATTAAGAGTCCACGTTTATTTCTTTTTTTTTTTTTTGATATATCTTGTTTTCATATTAACAGTTATTATTTCAATCTTTTCTCATTATCTTTTTTTAATTTTAAAGATATGTATCTGTCTTTAATTTTTATTTCTTTTTTTACTTTAATCAGAAGAATAAAAAATAAAGTGTAAAAAATTAAAAGGCAGAAAAAGAAATGTCGAAAATTTCTGGGTTTTACTATAATTACAATCACTACTTATTCATAATTAAATCAATTTTAAACGCTTAAATTTGCTAAGTTTTAAATTTTTTCACGATTCTTTTACTTAGTTAGATTTTATTTTCCTCAATGGTTTAAAAAATATTTTATGCAAATTAAATATTTGAAAGATTGACAAATCATTTTCTTTATTTGAAGGCAAGAATCTGAATTTTTTTTGTTCACAACCAAATTTGTAATGGATTTATTATTTCCGCATGACCGGAAACTCTTGATAATAAAATCAAAAACTGGGCGATTTCTGTAACTTGCTTTTGAATAGCAATTTTCACCATCGAACAAAGCAACTTGAAGAAAAGATTTTTTTTTTTTAAATAATTATTTCTTTTTTTTTAATTCAACTTTTCTTTTTATTAATTTTTTTTTATTAATTTAAAAAAAATAAAACTTGAAATTATCTTTTATTTGCAGTTTCTTTTATTCGTTTTATTCTTTTGAATCAATTTGTTTTTTTTATTGGATATTTTTTCTTTTTGTTATGAAATATGATTTTCTTCGTATTTTCTCAAACCAGCAATAGTCGTTAATCTAACGTATCATATTCTGTCCTTCTCCTTACTGCTTGGGCACTTATATAGTCACTATGCCTTTGCTGTTCTAATTAGGCAGTCATTTACATATCACTATAATAATGACAAATTATTATTTTTATACGCCTTTACAAATTCATTTAATCCCTACTGAAAAACATTTCTGTCTGTAATCAGAATGGCTGATGTCAAACTTCAGGGGACAAAACACTACGCCTTCTTGGCGACATGTTTTCCATTGGTATGAAAAGGAGCGAATATATCGAGTCAATTATTACAGGTGCTGCAATGAATTTCAGTTCACTGTGCCGTGCCAAAAGTTTTGTTGTTTTTTTTTTTTTCATTTAAAATCTTGCAAATTTATAAATCTGTCACAAATTCGTCTGTGTTTTGAATTTTTTTTTTCATTTTGGTCTAAGTGTTTTGTGTTTATTTACATTTCGAATTCTGGACAATATCCAAAGAAATATCTATATATCAATCGATCTCTATTCATTTCATATCGTATTTTATTTACAATATCGCCAAAACGGAAATATCAAATTCTGTCAAGGCATAACTGCCACTAGTTCAAATTTTCAATTTTTTTCTTCAGAGCAGCAATAAATTTTATAATAACCTTTGGACTTTTGAGATTCTCAGGGGAATAGAATCAAAATCATCTGGATTTTTGTCGATTGACATTACATTTGAATATATGGCTATTATATATATCAACTTAAATATATATAATAGGAAAATAAATCCATATTTCTTCTTGCGATAACATTTTCTTGCTATTATTGTCCTCTTTTTCAAACGATATTTAACAAATTCGATTTTGAAATTTTTTTCCGTGATGCCAGTATTATATTTTAGTTTTCAAATTAAATTCATATAGTCTATATTTCTTTTTATATAGTAGCTCGTCAGATCAGTTGCCCAAAATACTTTCAAAAGATCTTGGAGGCGACAATTGTCTAATTTTTTTATAAGGAGATGCCAAATCAGGACCAATCACATTTTGATTATCCGATTCTGGATCTTGACGATTTCGATATTTATTTTTTGCAATCTATAAATGTTCTATATATATATATATATTTTCATGGCAACTTATTTTAGACGAAAAGTATTAGATTGATTTTTTTTACATGAAAAAAAACGTGCGAAATTGAGATTGGCAATTTAAATTTCATCGTTTTTAAAATGAACTTAAAAGATGCAATCGTTATTTCTAATTTAACAGTTTTTTTTTGTACTTTTCAAATTTTTCTCCCTTCCGTTTTTTTTAAATTTACAACAAATTCAAAAATGTAGATGCAACGTCAATTGCTATATCTGTCTCCTTGGAGCCTTTATGATTTTTTTCCATTTTCTTTTTTTAAGTTCATTTTTCAAACTTCTAATTCCTATTCACTTTGATTTCTTTTTTTATGAAAAGTTCTACATTTGAATTTCATTTGTTTTTAAAAATTTATTTTCCTTCATTTATTTTTGTTTTTTTTGTTGTTTAAATTCTTTGTTTGTTTATTGCTTTCTAATCATTTTATTCTCTTTAATTTTATTTTTTTTCATTTCTTTTTTTTTTTTTAAATTCTTTTTTTATATTCTTCTCTTTTCATTTTTTTTAACATTTCACCTTCTTTTTTTTGTTCTTTTTTTTCAAATTTTTTCCTCCATTCATTTTTTTAAAAAATTTTTTTTTAATTTTTATTGCGTTTTTTTCAGTTTTTTAAGTTTATTTTTCTCTTCTTTTCTTTACCTTTCTGTTTTGTTTCTTCTTTTTTTTTTTTTTTTTCTTTCTTTTTTTTTTTCTTTTTTATATTTTTTTTTTTTTTTCCATTTTGTCTTTCTGTTTCTTTGTTTTGTCTTTTTTTTTATTGTTTGTTTTTTTTTTTATTTTATATTTTCACAATTCTATTTAATTGTTTTCTGTTTTTCATTTTTCTTTCTTTCTTTCTTTTTATTTCTTTTTATCTTTCTTTACAAATTTCTTTATATTTTCTTTATATATATTTTTGAATATTTTATTCTTTTTTTTAAAATTTCCTTCTTTCTTTTTTCTTTCTTTTTTCTTTTTATATTGTTTTTTGTGTTTTGAATATAAAATATATATTTTTTTTTTCATTTAACAGTATAATGGAGTCAAATTATATTAGAAATAAATTTCTATAAATGAAATGACATTCGTTTTCAAATCACTTTTCGTTTTTTGAAACAGCATTCTGTATTTTTTCATTTTTCTCATCGAAAGATTTTTTGATTTCAAAATATATGTCAATATTTTAATTTATATCAAAATATATAATTTGGAAGTATTTTCTATATATATATTTCTAATAAAAATATTTTGGAATTCTTTTTGTTAGGGAAGAAAATAAAATTTTCATCTAAAATAACAAAATATTCATTTTTTCTCAATAAATTCTACATCAAAATTTTTATCTTTTTCTGCTATATATAAAAAATTTTTTGGCTTTTTAATGGATTTTTTTTTTCAGTATGAAAAGGATCTCTGCACCAAATATATATATAAAACAGTTGACGCCAGTCATTTTTTCAAACAATTTCTGCGTCCTTATATTCATTTTTAAAAATATGGTTTGCTTTTACCAATCTTTTTTTTTTTGCAAATTGTTATATTTTCTATGTGTAATTTATATATATTGTTTTTCAGATATTTTTTAATGGCCTCGTATCTTTTTTTTTTTAAAATGAATTTCTGAGCAAAAATTATTATAGCATTCAACAAGGAAAAATTTTTCTCCAGAAATTCTTAAATTTCATTGAAATTTTTAAACATGCTGAACACAAATAGTTTTAAAAATGGGGAAATAAAAAAAAACTTATTTTTAATAAAATTTTATTTCAAATGTAATATATTTTTTCGGTTAAATTTTTTTTTGTATAATTTATATATAATATCAAATGTTTATTTTTTTCATTTTTTAGTCATTTAATTCTAACTTTTTATCTATATATATCCTATATATATATATATATATATATATATATATATATATATATATATATATAGTTTATTTCATTTAGGTAATCCGTATGGGTAGACCTGAGGAGGATGATATCCAGAGATATCAATGTAAAATTCAGAGCAGATATGTTTGAATAAAAGACAGACCACGTTAAGATTCCATGTAATAAGCTATTTCACCATAACCCCTTTAACAGGGTTCTGGATCATCAGACTTTTCTTCCAAAAGCTGAAATGAAAAATGAAAAAGAAATTCACACGTTTTTTACGGACCTCATCAAGTATACGTAAAGTTAACGAAGTGAGGAAGTGAGGTGGGAGAGAGGATATGAGTGTGTCATATGTATCATTTTAGTTTCCTATTTTAACCCCAGTGTGTCGGCTGGATGTTGCTCAAATTTAACGCGTCTCGTCTCTAGATAAAGATGGTTAAGGGGTGAATGATAAGAACTACATTAAAGGAAGACGTTACAACAATCCCAATAAATTACACGACAGGTTTCATTCAAATTCTTAGACGCTGTCAGTTCGCGTTACTTTAACGTGCATATTTGGGAGGTTAAGGTTTGATAAATATCTAAATTTTTAAAAATTATATATATATATATATATATATATATATATATATATATATATATATATATATATATAAATATATATTTGATATAGGATTTATGAGAATAAATTCCAATAACCAACAATTATTATTCTTAAAGTTAGCTAATACAGAGTTAGAAATAATATAATTATTTATTAAAAAAATATAACACAAATAAATAAAACATTTATGTTTGTTTTTTAATTTATATATATATATATATATATATATATATATATATATATATATAAAAAAAGTTAAAATCTTAAGTCAGATACAAAAAATTAAAAAATATATTGTGAAATATTGTTAATTTAATCAAAATATATTTTTTTAAAATAATTTACATTTAATTAGAAATGTAGTTTTTTCAACAAACAAAAAAAAATTTTAACTTTTTTTGATTAATTTAAACAAATATTGAAAAAATATATTTTTATTTTCGTTATAAAGATATGAACATGTTTGAAAAATATGACAAATTAATAACAAAAATATTAGAACAAGTTTGTGCTCATAATTCAAAATGTAAACATCTACGTATGCTTATTTCCAGTTTTTAAATTTCCAGATTTTAAAATGGCTAAACATATAAAATTTTAACGTTTAAGTTCGAACAGGGCAAGTATTGTTGAACTTCAAAGACGTGGTCTTTCGTAACGCGTCATTGAAATGAAATGGCCGTAAAAAGAATTGTCAACAACTAACTTTTTTAAAAAAAAAAACGTCTATTCTAAAAAATTGAAGATATATCAAATTTAAATCTCACCATCTCGAGAATTAAGAGATTCAAAACCTAACATCAAATCAGATTAAAGAATAATACAAATGCTGAATGCAACTCTCGAACAATTCGACGGCATTTAAATAAATAAGATTTTAAGGACATGAACCAGCTACAGAGACCTCATATTTTTTCGCCATAAAAAATTTTCCGTTTACAATTTATTTTCCGATTATCAAATCTTTATATGTGGATAAATGAAAGAAAATTTTGTTTGCAGACGAAAAAAAATTCAAACTTGCTGGCCCAGACGGTTTTCAAAAAAGAAACCTGGCATGTAAAAGAAATTTTCTCAACACGACATAGTGGAGGTGGATCAATTTTGGTCTGGGGTTCATTTTATATTTATATTTATAGAACTCTTGAACATACAGGATCCTGTAAAGGTCATCAAACAGCTGCTTAGTTACATTGACATGTTAAAAAATCCATCACTAATTACTGAAATTTATCATCTATAGGTGGATAAAAACTGGATTTTCCAGCAGGACAATGCTGCAATCCACAACGCTCTCCAGATCGAAACCCAATCGAGATTTATTTGGGATGGATGGCAAAATCATGTTTATAAACATGGATCTCAATTTGAAACTGTGAATGCTTTCATGCTAAATTTTTTTCATGCATCCTTCCAAAATCCCAATGCTTTTTAATATCATTTTAAATAAATAATGATGTCATATTATATAAATTTTTAAAATAATTATATAAATTTCAAGGATATACTAAAAATTAAATTGTCGTTGTGACTTATTTGTTCTGTATTTTTTTTTTTATTGACATAGTTTATAAATATTAAAAAAACCAATTTTTAAAAAAAAATATTTTTCAATGTTTAAATCAAATTATTAAAAGCTTAAAATTTTTTAAAATTTGTTGATAAACTTTATTTTTTAATTAAATTTAAATGTTTCGATAATATATTTCAATTAAAATAACAGTATTTTATTTTTTTTTTAAATTTATATCTGGTCGTAAATATTTTTTTTTTCAAAAAATCTATATATCAATGAATGTATTTTATCTATCTATCTATCTATCTATCTATCTATTTAAAACATCTATCTAATCTTTATTCATATCTAATTAGCTTTCTAATTTATAAAATAAAAAAAATAAAACTAGTATGTATCAGACAATTTCTGCGAAATCCTTTTAATTTCTGGCCATCTAACTTTGCCCAAGAAATAAATTAAAATTTAAAGAAAAAAGTTGAGCGAGATATCAAGAAAAATTTAATAAAAATATTAAACTAAAGGAAATTGAAAAAAAGGCTTTTGGGAGCATTCACTTTAAATTAATTTAAAATCCATTTGCTTTTTACAAATTCTCTTTTTTTAAAACCTTTTAGGCTGATAGGAAACGAAGGATATTGAAAATTATTTTTTCATAAAAAAAAAATCAAAAAGTTCAAGTCAGATGAACGTGAATCATTTTCAACAACACATCCTGCCCTTAAAAAACACGCCTGATCCAAATTCACGAAATTCTCATTAAGATATTTCTATTTTTATAATGATATCAAATCTGAAGATATTATTTTAACATAAGATATTTTATAACGTGTTTACAAGAAAAAAACTATCGACTTGATTTTGTAATGTATTTTAAGAAAAATATGGATATTGGACAGTTGTTAAATTTGTGAAATCGAATATTATACTAAATTGTCCACTGTTTTTCGCGGAAAAACAGCATAAATAAATGAAAAACTTTTCAAAAATTAAAAAAAAATAAAATATTATCGTCAAAATGCTTATGTTATTATTTAGATGAAAGAAAAAGTATTTTTTAATTATTTTTTGAAATTTTTAATATTTTCTAACACGTTCGAAATTTTGGTTAAAAATCGTCTTTGTTTACGTCATCGCGAATTTTTTAAAAATAACATATTTTTTTTTTTTTTTTTTTTCCGTTGAAAATATATTTTTTAAATTGTCTTGTAAAAATAGAATAATTGTCCAATCTTAATGAAATTTTCAGGACTTATTCACAAATGAATGAAATATATTTTCAAATTTTTTTTTTAAAATTTTTATATAAAAAATATTTTTTTTAAATATGTTACCCCCACCCTATTAATTTCATGAAATTTCGCCCAAAACCTTTTTATTTCCTCAATTTTTTTTTTTAAAAAATAAGGAGTCTTTGGAGATGGTAAATAACCTACTTTTTTTTTAAATTTAAGCTATTAACTGAAAATCTTGTCTGAATTGAAAAAAAATGAATCCAATAAAACTATGATATTACTTAATTAGAAAAGCTTTTAATTGCTTTTTTTAAATAAGTAATATTAAGGACATTATTGTCTGAAGAAATAATTTTTTTTGATGAATAATTAATTTTTACAAGAAATTTTTTTTTTTTTTTAAGAAAAATTTTAATTATAATAATTTATAATAGTTTAAATCGCGTAAAATTCTGTATTAGGAGGTTCCTCAATATTATGTATTAATTAAGTAAAAAAAAAATTTACAAATCAAAATTTGCTAAGTTTAATAAATTTAGTTGAGATACTTTTTTTAAAAAATAATTTTTTATGTTGTATTTTTTTTTTTAATACATTCCTTATTTCCATGTATGATATACAGAAATTGACATTATTATTTATAACAAGGTCATGTGATCTAAAAGTTTTGTCCCTTTACGTATTTTTTCAAAACATTTCGTTTATTAACAGATTGTATTTTCCGATCAGCTGTAAAAGTAAACTTTAAATTTTAAATT